TCCCTGCAGGGGGGTTGGGCTAGATGACCTCTAAAGGTCCCTTCCAACCCAAAGCATTCTGTGATTCTATGATCTTATGGGAAGTATAATCCATATTCTATTCATCTAAAAAAAAAACCACCAAGAATCAGACTAAAAGGTATTTTATAACTGTATGCCTTATAAAGATCACGGGAAAAGTACCTGGAGAATGTATTAAAGTGGCAACATCTGAACATTGCCGTATTTTTAGTATTGTTGGATTTATTTTGGCCATATTGTTGTGGTCTTTTGGTTCTTACAGTGCTTTGGTCCCCAAAGTCTTTGGTAGTGGCTTTGCATTCATAGTTGATGATTAATCTATGCAAGGCACTTCTGTCTTCTTTGTGGGGATCTGTGGTCAAAACAAATGACATTTTGTACTGACATGAGTATGAACAAAGAGGATCTTGGTCATCATTACTCTTGAGCCATTCATAAAATTGTAGTGTGGCTATGCTTCCTCAAGGCTTTTGTACTGTTCTGGATGGGAAGTTTTTTATGTAATATTAAGGTTGTCTTTTAAAATGCTGTTTGTACAATATATTTTTGGGATAGTGTTTGACCCAAGCTGAGACAAGAATATATGATCCCTGGGTTCTGCTGTGGAAGGGAGTCCGGTTTAGGTATCCTATTAGGCACTTGTCAAAGTCCAGTACTCTCTGACCAGGTTCTGTTAGATATTCCACACATGGAGGGTGTAATGTTTAATATTAGATATACTATTTGAAGGTAGTTGATGTTACGGAAGATTTCTGATTAAGCAGAGTGATGCATAATATACTGAAATCACAATACAAATGCAAGTTAAACTTAGCAAAATATAGCAGTTGCAGTATTCAGTTCAAACACAATACCGATGTGATCCCCATTGCTGGTCTCTAGAATATGTTCACTGTCACGATGTTGGGTGTCCCCAGCCACCAGGACGGAATATGCGGGTTGAAGCTGGCTCAAACCTCCTGCTCTCTTTGAAATTCCTTTTTTAGTTGTTTAATTTTTGTACTTTGAGCTGAGCTGCGTACTCGCTCCCCCCCCCCCCTGCTATGTTGGGCCGAGCCCTGTGTTCACTCCCCCCCATGCTGGTCTAGCTAACTCGGAGACACTCACTGTTTTTAATGAACTCTGGGAGAAACATTTACACCACTAGTTGATTCACTCAACTGTAATATAGTCAGATGACCTGCTCAACTGACATAGCTGTTTATCTAAAACAAAGGCCACCCTCTGGTCCCTTTTGTGCTGAGATAAAGTCAGCTTCTTTGCAACAGCTGTGGTCAGTCACACCCTGCATTATCCTGAGCTTCATGGGCATGTTGCCCTTGCTCATCTTCATCGAGCTGCCTTCCATTTTGAGGGTTTATAGGTCAGTCACTGTAATGGAATGATCATCAAATACAGGCTTGGGTGAATTTGCAGAAAAACTCAGACTCATTGAAGACAGCAGATCCTGTTTAGTCTAGACCTTTTCATTCTTTGGGTATGATGAATCTTCTTATCAGTATCTTTAGTTTGCTTTTTATTTTACAGTATGCGTGGCATGAAGAGGTAGGAAGAGTGTGTCCAGGCTTCAGGTTGGCATAAATGCATGCTTCAGTATTTTATGCGTCTTATAAAACACTTTCAATTCCACATTTAATGCATTTCTGAGCACAGAGGCATTTATTAAATTGAAGAGGAGAAACAGACTGGAAGTTCAAGTTAATGTAATTCAGTTTTTGTAATTGGATATACAGGGTATGCAGTGAAAACTGTGACTCACTGTTGCAGTGTGGTGACAGCCATTTCACATATCCAGCTATGGTGCTGTGAAAAGCTCTGCTGTTGATCACTTTCTGATATTGCTGCTCACTACTTATTTTGATGTTGAGCAGAAGGGTAGTATAGCAAGCAAATTATTTAGTTACTCTAATGTTAGGATTTTTCCAATATTTGTCTTAAATGATAAACTGGCCAAAACTGTTGCTGTAACTTTTCATTGTTATGGGAGTGGTGATGTTCTCATGTCTAATGCAGTTTTCAAAAGTACATTTTAAATGTTGCAAATTCTGGAACTTTGCAGTTGATAAATGCTAGTTTATAGCAGTTCGGTACTAATTCCGCCCCTTACTGTATCTCCACAAAGTGGGAAAAAGTATAAACGTATTCAAACATACTATTGTAATGCAGCAATGGTTACAAAATTAACATTGTGTGGACAGCTTTGTTATGATGCAGCCTGACTGGCAGATATTGTATTTTGTAATCTTGGTTTCCTTTGCATGCAGGGTTTTTCTAAGTGATTTTCTACTTATTTAAAATAAAAAAATCCACCTTTTATGTTCCATGTAAAAGTCTCTTCTCAGCATGGTGGCCAATTTCAACCATACTTGACTAAGGGACAGAGTTCTGACAGTTCTCATCATGGTCAGGAAGCGGGTAGAAAAGGAAAACCCGCATCAGCGTGCACCACCACTGTACCCTCCAGGTACAGTCCTCTAAGGTGGAAAGTCTATCACATAGTTGCCTGGCTCACTGATCCCATTTAGCCTGCTGTGAGGTCAATGAGCATGTGCTGCATTCAGTCAGCACAGGAATAAGTGCCTGTCTGTCTGGCATTCGGAATGGGTGGGCAGATGCAAACAAAACTCATAATAGCTTGGGAAACAGGCAGCAAACTGGAGCTGATTATGTTAAAGGATCAAGGGTAAGGCTTGAGATAGTGCATTAGGAAATGTGGTGGTGGTGGGGAAGTTGTTAGGGCCTGTCTAGGTGCCTGTGGGTTATGTGAGACTAATCCTTAGGAAACTAGGCTTTAAACCTGTTGCTTATAGAGGAATTGGTTTGCTTTTGTTTACCTGAGGCTACTCTGCCAACTCCATAGGCTTCTATGCTATGCATAATTTCTTTCAAATAGCACTATCCAAATCCCTCCACACACCCCACCCCCCACCCCCAAGCTTCAGGTTTCACTTTTCCTTTGTTAGAAACACTTCTTCCCCAATCCTCCCCCTTGTTGCCCTGTGTTAATATGGGGAAGGGGAACAACTGATTTGTGAGGCAAGGGTCAAATATATAACCTTTAGTTTAAGATTGGCTTTGTACGATATGATTATGGGCCATGTAGTATGACAAAATTGTGCAAAGTGTCAATTTACCTTATAATTACAGTGGTTAAAAAAAATACACATTTTTAAAGGGTGGTTTTTTCCAGCAGAGAAGATGATTAAACTGGGACAAATGTACCATTTTGAACATGTGGAAGGCCTGAAACTGGTTTTGGAGATGATACCTCTATCCTCTACTGTGACTACATAAATTAAAATTATGACACATCAGTTAGAGTTTTATTTCCTTGCTTTTCAGTTCAGTAAATGAAAAGGTTGTAGGAAAGAGGCATTGGGGAGGTGAGTATTTGGAAATATTCCGTGAGACAATCTGAAGGGTAATTAAGATAGGAAAGGACAGGACAGCAGTGACACTCGGAAGCCAAAGATGAGGTGTGGTGGTGTGGTTTGTTTTTTTTTTTTTCCCCCCTTCATATGGTCTGTTAGTATAATACCAGCTAAAAATCAGTGTGGTTAATTGTATTTTTAGTGGAGGAAACACAATCTTTATGGCATATGGGCTGGGAGTATAATAAAGTGAAATGTAGTGTCTTCTGTCCTGTGAATGAGACAGTCCCATCTGTTTTTTAAAAAACAAACCAAGAAAGGGTGGAATGCGGATGGTTGTTCTGAACTGCAGAAGTACAACTCAACGTAGTTCAGATGGGGACTATTAATACCCCAAAATACCTAGAAGCTACAGTGTTTGACTGAAATTTGCAGTGTGGCTCTCTTTCAGTTGCCCATCTTTCTGTATTGCATTCCTACAATGACACTTTAAAGTTACTTATTTTTTTGAGAATATTTTATTATTAAATACTGCAGTTTCTTGTCTTCCAGGCTTGTTTGTCTGACATACCTGGTTTAGGTCACTTGGAGATAGAGCTTTTTGGATTACTTTATTTTGTTTATTTCATTACATAGAGGTCTTTAAGTATGAGATGTAGTTAATACTATTTTGTCATGTGGTATTACTTGGTTACCTGTCACTTACCTTCTCCATTTATTTGCAGACTGTGTAATAGTTCTAAGTTAAACTACAAACCTAAAGTGAATTTCATAAATAATAGCAACTTCAGAAACAGTCACACTTGTTATAAATACAGACCTATGGAAAATGATTTAGAATCGTTTTAACGCTAGAGGGCACTAACATCTCATGAAATTTAAGCCCAAACCGATTTTTACTATGTGTAGCACTTGGGTATTGGGTAGTCTTACTGTTTTTGTAGCGGATGCCAAAGGTTTAAATTTCTTTACAGCCTTTTCTCTGTAGAAATGAGAAGTAATAGTATTCTTGCAAGGATGCATTGAAAGTTAAGAGTGTGGAGTTTTCCTTTGTGGTAGGGTTTTTTTTTTTACTAAACAATAATTTGGGTAATTTGTGGAGAAAACTGTAAATTCCACTTGTACTCTTAAATTGCTTTTAATGTGGTAATTTTCACTTGAAGCTGGTGAATAGGCATATAAAATAGGAAACTACTGGATAACTTCTTCTAAAAGTTATCTAATAGAGTTAACATCTGGAATATAGTTTTGAAAGTTGGTAATCAAAGGAAAAGAATCATAAGTGAACTAATGTTGCAGGCCTAACTTTAAGTTAGGGTTAATGCATAGCATACATTTACATAATGATACCTGGTATATAGAAAATAGTACAGAATATGAAAGTCTGTACTGCCAGTAAGTAATGGATTGCAATGGAACCATCAGTTGTTTATGTCATTTTTAAGTAGGTAGTTTTAGAACATGTGTTTGAATCTGAAGTTTGGACCTCAAAGTGGTGTAGCCATTTTGGAAGTACTTTATTTTTGTTATGGATTTTAGATCCTGAATTTTGTTTAAAACACGTGAATAAAATGGTTTCTGATTACTTCTTGCTCTTTGTAGGAATGGTTATTCAGTTGCCTTGGAGATGATCCTGCTGTAAATGTAGGGCCGAAGATTAATGGTGTGGACAGTATGGACCTAATGAACGGACAGTCAAGCAGTGTTAATATTGCAGCTACTGCTTCAGAGGTAAGGATTACAAAACTCAGTTATTGGATACTTAAGACAATAAGTACTCAGTTTTTTAAAAATGCACCAAAATGTAAGTTTTTCTTTTAATAGATCTGGTGCAGCAGATTCTTGTTTTGTGTGTTAGTTTCATATGCACCAGTTTAGATGTAAGTAAGTTAAAGTTCTGACCTTTGTATACCAAAATAAAGCATGAGCAAGCATTTACAGCCTTGCCATAGCCAAAGCTGCCTTCTTTATGTTCTCTTCCATCATGTCTAGACAAGGGAGCTTTTCAAGTTTTAACAATAATAGATGTTCTTAGCGCAATAAGCTGAGCTGGCAAGACCTGTGGGAAATGTTCTCTTCTTTGACAGGTACTTGTGTGTATGTGTCAAGGGGCGGTCTGACACAGTAGCACTGGAATAGGGTTGTTCCCTTTGTGTCTTGGACTATATTCAGGCATTGGTATGGGTCCCCTCCTGCCCACCAAAGTTTCTGCCCTCTAGAAGTGAACAGCTCATGAGTTAAGTGCATGTGTATGAGGCAAGCAATGGAGACTGACCTTCTATGCTGATGCCTCTTATTTTGAAGTTTCCATTTGTCATCTACTTGTTAAGGAAAAGGAGTGGGGTGAAGTTAGTACCAGAATTTTTTGAGTTCTTTTTGCTAGGATCATGTGAGGAGCTGTTGAGAGTTGTGACCGATTCCTAAATTCTTAGCAATGTTGGAGGGTTTGCAGCATCTGGTTGGTTTGCAAATCACTCCCTCTTCAAGTTTTTGTTGTTTTTTTGTTAATGCATTGTAGTACTGGGATGAAGGGAACTGTCAAGTATTGTCAAGATTTAAACAAGTAAGCTGGCATCAATCTCCAAGACCATTGTTTTTATACAGATTCTTGTACTTCTCTTATCATTGTATTATGAATCATTGATTGGCCATTTGTTGGCATGCAACTGAAAAATTTTCTTGGAGGAAAGCTCTCTTTTTAGTCAACAACACAGCCTTGAATGTTTGCATCATTTCTGATAAAATTCAGTAAAATATATTTTGGCAAAGTTACATGAATCCACTTTCAGCGAGTGTGGGGTTTTTTTGGGTTTTGTTTTTTTTTTTCTTTCTTTCTTCCCCCTGCCCCCCCCCCCATCTTGACTAACTGGGATGAGGGAGGACTTGTAACTGAAATGTTTCTTTAAGTATGCTGGTTACTGAAAATGCCTGTCTGGTTTGGAGTTTTTGGTGGTGTTTTCAAAGGCAGGTCTTTGAGAGAAGGTACTGTTAGAAGAACCTAACTAAAATCAGACATGATTATTAAATGGGTATGTATTTTCTTTATATGCCCTTATAAGAAAAGTGCTTAAAAATGGGCAAGAGTTTTTCAGCTGGCTGAATTCTCAAGGAATTCAAATGTTCTTGTTTCTGTGAGTGGGAAGCCAAAGTCAAAATATATAGTGTAGCCCTAAAACACTGCCTTGTTAGGTTTTCAGGAGAAGACATTAGCACAGTAGAACTACTTACCAGCATCAGTGACCATGTGCTATCTTCCCTCCTGCCTTAGCATTGGCAGACATGATGCAGGTGTTACTGGCAGTACAGTGTAACAGTGCTGAAATTTGGCTTCCATCAGAAGTGATCTGGTGAGTGGTCATTTGTGTGTGCTGTGTATATGACCCATATCCATGGTCTTGAAAACTTTCAACATCAGCAGTAAAATTACACAGACTGTCAGAAAGTCCCTTCATTATGTGGGCCAAAGTCTAATCTTTTCAACTCCCCCTGTGATGGTGGTTAGGATAGAGTGCTTAAGGATACATCAGTCTCCAATGGAAGACTAGGCAGGTCTTGGTTTGTGCTTAGCGTGTTTTGCCGCAGCTGAGCTGGAGCTTCCAGCAATGGTGAGAATAAGCTCTGTGCACCAATACTAGCTTTCTTTCTCTCTAATCTCTTCAAACAAAGTATTAGTAGAACTGTTGTGGGAGCTCCGTTAGTGCTTATAGCAAGGCTATGCTATTGCTGAAGCATGCAGGTGCCATACTGCCATACATACCCCTTCTTTCCTGTAATGACTGAACAGAATCTAGGTTTGCATCTACATACTAGAGGAAGTGATTACTCATAATACAGAGGTATTGCTTTCATATGAAACATATGAAACCAATATAAAGTGTTAATTTCATACAAAGTATTAATTTTTTTAACCATATTTGTATTTTGCAAGGAAGCTAAATATGTTGTAGATAAAGATTCATAGACTAATATTCTAGGATCTGGTATTTTTTGCAAATGTGAATTAGTAGCATTTAAAAAAAAACAAACTGAAATTGTCTATACTATCTGTC